TAAAAATATTTTCTAAAAGTACACATCTAAAACAAAAGTTCTCATCAAACTAAAAATGGATTTCTTAACTCAACAAAGTATGCCTACAATATGTATACTCAATGATAAAACATTACACACATTTCCTTTAAAATTGGGAAGATAAAATAATTCTTTCTACCAACACTGTTCATCAATACATTGAAATTTGCAAGGCAGCACTGGAACTTGATAACTAAGTTTCTGAAAATGAATATATTTTGGAAATTCATAAAGCAATTTCATGTCTAGAGAACTCCAGGGATTTATTAAAAGCTTAAAACAAAGAAGACTTTCCTTCACCCCTATAAAATAATGAGACTGAAAAGAGATACCTACTACTTACCTGATTAATCCAACTTAATTTTTTAAATGCAATAAATATTTATTAAGCATCTATCAGACAGTGATAGACAACGGTCATGCTCTGGTCATATAGCAAAGGACAAAATGGATATTGTTATGTAACAGACTAATAAATACATTTAACTAAATATCTCCCATACAGGGCTGTGAACTTTCAGAGGGCACGGATCCTGCTTATTTGGTGACCTAGTTTTTTCTCAGCTCTTTACAATGCCTGGCACATTTGTATGAATCTAATACTTGTTATTAATTATTAGTCATTACTGTTAATCACCTAATCTATTTGTTGCATGAATATATGAATGTGCCCCAAAGCCATACAGTTGCTACTTGGAAGATCCAGAGATTGGCCCAGTCTACTGACAATGGTGAAAGCAGTCACCCTTTCCTGTGAGCTTACCCTGGAGCTTGGCCTATGCTCAGCACTATACACTTGTCATCTCACTTAATCCTCAAACTCCTTAGAAAAAGATGTTATTATCCTTTTTTTAACTGGTAAGAATTCTGAACCTCAGAGAACTTAAGTGCCTTGCCCAACATCACCTGCTGGGTCTGTCCCCTTCAAAATCTGAGCTACTGCAGGCCCAAATCCTTCTCTTTTCACAGCAATTGTATGTGTAGTGCCAGAGGATCCTTGGCCACCTCCAAGGGAGCAGTTCAGTTTATTAACTAATTGGGCCTCCTGGTGCCAAGCAATCCGTTTGGCTGATTTTCTTTCCACACTGAATTGACTAATTTGTTTTACAGCAGTGACCACATCAGCTAGTTATTTTCATGGTAAATCAAATCATCCTTGTCCATTTCTTTGACTGTCTCCAACTGCCAGGAATCTGGCTAAGCACTGAGGGACAGGCATACCTAAACTATAACACTACTTATTAATTGTGAAATCTTAGTTAAGGACTTAACTGCTTTAAGCTTTCTTTACATTTTCAGTAGAAGTGGAGTTCATACTAATTCCTGCCTTGTCTGCTTAATGAGGTGATTAAATCAAACAATTGTAAATAGCTCCTAATATAATGCCTGATCTCTCAGGAGTTTTGTTGTGCAGTAGCTGCTGTTATTAGATTTATTATTTGTAGTGTTAATCTCAATATTTAATTTCGGTATTATCTTTGTTCCAGTAAAGAGGCCTTTACTGACCTCCTTGACCTAGGTCATTTAACTTTCTTCCAATATAGGCAGAGTGAATTACTTGCCCCTTACTGGTTATTGCTCCTTTATTATGGAGTTTAAATTGTGTTGTAAAAAATTGGATCAAGTCTCTTATTCCCTACACTCTCTTCTAATTGCAGACACTTTTAGTATAAGTTCATTCATCTTTTTGCTAAGATGAATGAACTTACCCCTTCCACTGTGCCTAGCATATCAGTGTTATGGAGTTTACTGAATTGAATGAATAGGTCAAATGACTATTCACAGTGAATGGATTTGTCCATTCTCTTTTGTGCATTGTTGCTGGTGCCATTGATAGAATTACCTTGGTTATGATATGTGTGAAGACAATAAGTCTTGAACTAGATAGCTTGCTTTTAATAAAGATTTTCACTGTCTATACAGAGAGATCAATTTTTATTTATGGCACTTTTTTTTTTTTTTTTTTGCTAGTGCTATATTACAGACTTTTTCTTCTGCTGTTCCTGCCATAGGACTTTATAAAAAGACTCCTTTACTTTTATTTAAACTTTTATTTCCCACATCACTTTAAGGTATACATTTTACTCTTTCTCCCTATCATTAATACATTACCATTTGACTCTATCATTAGGCTGTCAATCTGTAAAACCCTGGAGAAAGAAAGAGAGTCCTTATTTTAAATAGGCCTGATACTTTGCTAAAGAGGTTAGTGCACTATCTACAATTCTATTCTTGTCAAAAATAGGCTTTTGAAATTTTGAAGAGAAGAAATGAAATTTAGAAGAGCTACCAAACCATGAAAGATCTTGGAAGAATAAAAGAAGTAAAAAGGAAGGAGAAAACAGTATAATCCAGAGACATTGATTGACAAATAGACAAAGCTCTCTATAGAGTTCTAGGGAAGGTTCTTGCCTAATTTTGAAGTATCTGTGCAACAAGGAGTGCCCTGAGGCTAAAATCATGAAATTCACCCTAAGGAAAAATTTGTATTTCAGGGTTCCTAAAGATCAGGTCCTTAGTCCATTGTTAGTGGTCAGAAAAATGGAAATTGGAGCATTCACTGGGTAAGAAAAAGAAAGGGAAATATTTAGTGACCATTCTGAGAGAAATATTTTGCAGGTTGTGGGAGCAGGTAGTCCTTCCATTTCCAGTGACGTTTGGGTGTGACAATATGCCTGAAATAAAGCAGGAGAGATTTTTGTTGGGATTCAGACAGACCTCCTGGGTTCTCAGATACTCAAAACTGTTACTAAGCAGAATAGAATTTTCTTTACAAATGAGGCTGGCAAGTTTCCCAAGATTCTGAGTCTTAGGCAGGGACAGTACTGGTTTCCTGAGACAGCACTGCCACAGCCTCACTTGTGCTCTGGCACAATCTGACCCGATTCACAAATAAAGCCTATGTAATCTTATTAACCTCAGACTTTGTATAAAAAGTTCTTTCTGCAGATGGGAGCTCAGAGCAGCTCATTTGCTTCATAGTTGCGCTCATTCTACAGCAAATGAGAACTGCAATCAACTTCTTTTGCCAAACATAAGAAGAATTTATAGTTTTACTTCAAACTGAATGGTTTTTGATGCAAAAGAATTGATAAGGCTAAAGTTTCATATTGAAAATATTACATACAGATAGTAATCAGGGTAGGGGAGAAGGAAGTACAGTTCCTTGCACTGTTTCCGTCGAAATTTTCAATCAACTGCAGATAGCTTTTGCTTAGCAAAACTTTGACATATGTCCCTTGACCTTTACCAACTACCCTTTCACGTTTGACACTTAACATTTGCTACATGATTAAAATTCAGCGTTAATTAATTTCAACACTATCAGTTAAGTTAAATTTAGCTAAGAACACTCACTTTTGTCTTTTGTGAGTAGCACAGCAGTGTTATTACAAAGAGGTAGTCAGGAGGGCAACAGAGATACGAGAAGAGAAGAATGATTCAGTGTGCAGATAATTGTTTCGAGTGAAATTTAGCTTGGTATTTTTGTTCCTGTCCTCAGTAGAACTGAGATTTAGCACCTCCCGCTGGCATTTAGCCCCCACCGTCATGCAGAAGGAGGCTGTGCTGGGTGGATGCTGAGAACGAGCCACACCAGAATTAAATTATAGCACAGTTCTAACACTGGCAAGAATTTTCTCTGGCCAGCTCTTGGGTACAAACCTGGTGATCCCAAAAATGAGGCAAGGCATTGCTTGAAAGGATCTCCATATGGTGTGTGGTATCATCTTCAATAAGGGAGAGTGACATGGTTGTTTAAAGAGCATGGCCCCCAAAGTGCTGACCATTCCCAAAGAAAACAGTGGAAGCCAGAATATTGAGCCATAATATAGTTGTAGTTCTGTGCTTAAAAAGGTCATCTATGAAATTATATTATTGATAACTTATTCCATAGAACAACAACAACAAAAGATTATTAGAATGAATAAAACCCTTGAAATTTGACCTCTTTCACTGAGTGTTCCAAGTGGAAAAAACAAAGCAAAGCAAAACAAACATTTTTATTAGCTTCTGTCTTCCATATTCGTTTACTCTGTGAAGAGGTTATAATAAGAATGTGGATAGGCATTTCTTGCTTTTACCTGAAGCTCAAAATGCTACACAATACCTTCAACTATTACTCTTTGCAGTGAAATTGTGGTCCATAAATTTATTGAGCCACTGAAGTACTTTTATCCTTTAGATGCACATACAGCCCTTCACTGGGTTGAGAGTATAGGTCAAATACAATTTATATGCAAATTGCTGATATGTGGCTTGCTGAAGATCTATTACTAGATATTAAGTTCTTTGACATAGTATACTCACGTATCCCCCAATTGTTTATAAAAAACAAAACAAAGCAATTTTGTAGCATTCAAATATCATAAAACATCTTGCCTCCAGTAATTCAACTTTGTTTTCTTCTGGGTTTCCAGTCACCTGGCTTTGCTGCTATACTTTGCTGCTATACTTCTGTGTTCTTCCATCTCCAGCAGTCACTGGGCCCCCTGGACACCAATTCAGCTTTCAAACTGGGCCGGCTCCCCACATCTTCCCTGAATACACTTCTAAGAATTCATTGCCACCCGTATGGACTCCCCTGGTCTCAGGACCCCCATCCTGCCTTGCTGTAGTGACCTTGGCTCACCTGCCATTGAAATGATACAGGAAAAGACTGAGTTTTAATATTCAAGGAGCATACATAGATGACCGTGCTGGAAAGAATCATCCACTATGTCTTGGAACAAATAATATTTTTTTTAAGAGTGGGAAGATTTTATACAAATGTGGTTTTCTAGTTCTTGGATCTTCTGGTCTTTTTCAATTTTACTTGGTGGATAATAAGAAGAAATTGAATTTGAATATTTATTTTCAAATGAAAATTTATACATCTCTATATTTTACAATATTTTCCTTCAATGTAGCCACCAACATATCTTAAGATTGAAAGTAGTTTTATGTTATAAATTATTTTTCTCTTGTTTTTCCATTTTAAGGTGCTACACAATGGCCTCATTATGGAAATGAAGCATCCGACTGTGGGGAAGATTTCAGTCCCAGGTTTGAAAATGTTTGTTATTTTCCATGACACCGTCCTTCATTGATTGTCCTACATGCTATTTCCTGCAGGTACCTAGTGTTTCCCTAAACAACTTATCAAGGCATTATCCAAGCTTATAATTCTGGATAAAAGGGGAACCCTAGGTCCAGACCATAGGAATGTATACTGAGACCACAGAGCTGTGTCTTAGCTCTGTGGAATGTCTGATTGCCTCAGTGACAAAAAATGTTTATATTTCCTCACTCTGTTTTGTGTAGATATGTACACACAAAAGTACCTTATGTAATTACCAACTATAGATAATAATAAATATTGCACATATTAAGAAATATAGTAGGATTCATATGAGAATGAGAGAGGAAAACAGGCGAGAGAGAAATCATCTTTTTTATTTCAGAACTGTGGTTTAGGGTATGGATCTTGGCTTTGCAAGTCGAGAAACTAAATGTTTTCATTAAACCCAGAATAGATTGAATTTTTTAAAGTTGACTCATACCAGACAAACTCACCAAAGACTGCTGCTTAAGTCAAAATGCCAACATTTTCATTTCCAGAGGTGGTCTCTTCCTGGTAGTTAGGAGCCTCATGCCCACTCTCAGAAGATCCTGGTGGGTGGTTCAACCAAACTGTAGTGAGAGCTTATGAGCAGTGTACTGCCCCACCTGATTGATTTCATTATAACATCACCACCTTTCATATCTGTTGTCTCTTTCCTTTGGGCATTGCAGGAAAAATACTCCATGTTCTTATTCATTTTAATCTTTATTTTCTAGACGGTATGTAAAGCATACATTTATAATTTATTTTCTTCTTATAGAGGAGAATGGAATTAGCTAGGATATAACTTTTTGTTGAAGCTCTTTCCTAGTCCCTTTTTTGAAATTTGGATAGTCTTAGTCACCTCATTCAAATGGCACAGAGCATGTGCTTCTGCAGGTACCTGACCTCACTTGTTGAATAACAGTTACTGTTAATTTCATTCTAAGTATAATCTAATTCTAAGACTTGGGGTCAGCTTGACAATTTCCCACAACATTATGATAATGACCTCTGGTAAGCAGAAAGAATATGGAGAGGCAAGAATAATGAACAGAGCAAGTTGAAAGAGACAATGTGAAGTACTGGTGTGTAAGGAATGTTGTGTGTGGATTTAGAAGATAACTAGGAGGCTAAGTTCACATTGCCATAGGGACATGCATACGGTATAGAAAGGTGGTGGAAATGTGTTGATAAAAGTAAAAATGCTCATTCATTCATTCACAGTACTGAATATTTACTGTGTGCTTTGAGTCCTGGGAATTAAAAAAATAAACCGGACTACTTGGCCTCTGGCCATGTGGAGACTGTGATCAATGAAAATATAACTAACAAATGTTTATAACGGCAAAGAAAGGAAAGGATCTTGTGCTGTCACAGAGAAAAATGGGACAAAGTGAGGGCCTTAGGTAATTTGAATGGTCAGAAAAAGCCTCTTTGAGAGGCTGGCTGATAAACATGAGACTGAAGGATACAAAGGAGTTGGTATTTGAATAATATGGGAAGAGCATTCCAAGCAGAGGGAACAGAATATGAAAAGATTCCAAGGCAGAAAAGAGCTGGGTGTGTTTTAAGCCAATATGAAGGAGCAAGGAGAGGAGCAAGAGGCAGGAAATGAGATGAAGAGATGCAGAGGCTTGAGGTCCCACCAAGACTGGGTTTATCTTAATTTTAAGTAGAAGAGTGAAAAGGCACAATCCACAACTTAAGGAAGAAGGGAGTAAAGTCAGGAAGTTATTACAGGTGTAGATGATGATCTCATAAATTAGGGTCATAGAAATAGAGATAAAGAGAAGGGGGTTTATCAAAATAAGGACTGTAATCATAGTGCTTTCAGTCTGAGGAGACTTTAAATGGCATTTTGTCCAGTAGTTTTAATGTTTTAAGAGTTGAATTGATTTTCCAAATGAAATCTAGATAACTAAAACACATTGAAGCAGAAATTTGATGATTGATAGGTTAGCACTTTAATTGTTTAACTTTCCTACTTTGACCCTACCATGATTCTCCAAACATCTCTTTGTGAAACCATAGGCCCCAAGCTACAATTCAAGAATCACTGATTTAACTTAACCCTATGCATTTAAAAATGAGGTCATCCAGTCATTGGTATCCCCAGTGCATTAGAAGAAAAGCAAATTGTTAACATGATAGTGAGAGAAAAGGCAAGTCAGTGGCCAACCTAGAATTAATTAATTGGATGTAACACTTTATCCATCAACCAAATTTTTACTGCCTTTCATGGTAAAGGAATGAAGACCCAATGTGAGGAAAGTGGAAAATGATATGGTTTAAATCTGAGGTGCTCCCCAAAAGCTAACATGTGAAGCAATACAAGAAGGTTCAGAGAAAAAACGATGAGGTTATGAGATCCTTAACCCAATCAGTGAATTAGTCACCCAATGGGGTTAATTGGGTGGTGACTGAAGGCAGGTGGGGTGTGGCTGATGGAGGCCAGGCATTGGGGTCATGGCTTTGGGGTATATATTTGTATTTGCCTAGTGGAGATTTCACTCTCTGCTCCCTGGTCATCACGTGGGCTGCTTCCCTTTACCACACTCTACCTCCATGATGTCCTGCCTCACCTCAAGCCCCAAGGAATGGAGCCTGCTGTCTATGGGCTGAGACCTCGAAAACTGTAAGCCCCCAAATAAACTTTTTCTCCTCTACAGTGGTGCTGGTTGGGTCTTTCAGTCATAGCAGTGGAAAAGCTGACTAAAATAGAAAACTAATTTTTTTTCTCCTAGAATCCTGGTGGAGAATACCCATTTTGCTCATATTATACATATATCAGGTAACTATTGTCACAATAATACTGTGTAATAAAGAACCACAAAATTTTAATGGCATTCAAACATAAGCACTTATTTATTCTGTGCTTGTAGATCAGCTGGGTGGCTCCATTCCTCACTGCAGGGTGAGCTCAGTTTTGCTGTGTGTTGCTCATGGTCTTGTGGCAAACGCTGAAGAACAAGAGGGCAAGCAGAAATCATGATGCCACATAAGTTGTTGGAGTGGAACCAGGAAAACTTTCTGACTGCAGTCTGTTTGTCCAAAGCAAGTTTGGGGTTCTATCCAAAGAAGTAGAAAAATATATGTGACTCTTTTGAAAAGAAACTTCAGTTATCTGATAAAGGGCATGAGCACAAGGAAAGTAGTAAATAATTAGGACCAAACATTCACTGCATGAAATTCTCATCTTGATAGAAAACTTTTTTTTTTAAATCTCCCTTTGGAAAATTCTATTTTTTGTCTCTTTAAATTCTATAAAATTTAGGCATCTTTTTGGTATGTCTTTCTTATTGCCTTAGCTTATATTCTTCCTATAGACTTATCAATAAAATATCTGAATTCTTCAATTTGAGATGAAATGGCTATGTTAGTTTTTGAATTAGAATATAAGTGTCTCAGCTGGATTCAGTAATGCACATTTATAATCCCAGTGGCTTAGGAAGCTGAAGCAAGAGGATCCCAAGTACAAAGCCTCAGCAACTTAGCAAGGCCCTGTCTGAAAATAAAATATAAGAAAGAATTGTGGATGTGGCTCAGTGGTTCAGGGCCTCTGGGTTCAATTCCCAGTACTAAAAACAAAGAATATTAGTGTCTCTTGAGGGCAGTACATGTGGATTCCTCATAAAGGGGAATGACAATTCTGCTTATAGACATCAGATAAGAAGATGCTATTCTGTCTTCTAATTCAGTATATTACAGTAAGAGACCACTTGGGATAAGAGATACTAAATGCAATGGAAATTTATCAATAATTAAATTAATTTTTTTGAGGATTATACCTTACATGATTTTTATTTATGATAGCTCTGCTTCTCTTTGTGAGGGATGTTTGCATTGGAGATTTCATGAATGCTATAGAATTTACTCAGATTCTCCCATAATGCCTCAATGACAGGAGTCTACCAATGCAGGAAACCAAGGTGAAGTTAAATATAACTTTATACTACACTATTTTCTGGTTGTGTTGTAGAGAGAGACATTTTGAATTCATAAGTGTAGTTCTATAGATTTACACATATTCCTGCATCTTCATATTTATAGTAAAAAAATCCTTATTAAACATTACTAAATTCTACTTATTTATATTCCTTTTCTTATTAATGAATTCTGAGATATACTGAATTTTCTATACATCGTACTAAATTGCTTGAAGCATTTTGTATTTTAGCTATTATTTGAAATGTGTCTCTTGAAGAACAGCAATAACACTCATGCAGTATTTATTGGTGCCTTGATTGGAGCTATATAAATCCATATTGCATTCCTCAAGTTAGACCTCCTATACAGGAGCCCTTGGTTAATACCTTAAAGGTACTAGTCAACCAATGTTTGAAATACTTTGATCAGGAATGATAAATTACTTCTTCAAATCCTTTTGACTGCTTAAAACAATAATTTTAACCATTTAGTACATGTCTCAATATTTGTAATCATTACCAATATTAAAATACAGCAAGCAGTATGATCTCAACAATTTCCTTAATTAGTTCATGTCTATTGTGAACACTCACTTTTCATATAATTTTCTACCACTTTTATCCTTAAAGAAATAAAAAAGAAATGGCATTTGTGTATGTAGATGACATAGTTAAAGCATAAAAACTAGTTAGTGTTCATCAATTATTTCTAAATATAAGTTGTAGTTATGCTAATACTTTTGTTCTTAATTTCATATATTATTCATTAAAGCTCTCTCATTTGAGCTTTAAAGTGTATTATGCAGTTAAAGGTGAACAAATCCTGAGAAAAATTATCAATGGGAGTATAACACATGTCACATCTCTCTTTGCCAAGCTTATATTATCTGGTGTTCTAAGAGTCCTACTCCAAGAAGGGAGTAGATGTTAGTTTGAGCTTACCATTGGTTTAGTTTATTAACTTAGATACAAGTATCAGCGCAGTAAACACTTTGCACTAATTTTCTCATCATCAACTAGTATAACCTGGTACA